ACTCCACCGGGCACAACGCATACAGCCCCGACGCCTTGAGGGCGCAGAACATCCAAGCCTCACCAGGGGGCGAGCAGATCCCCCCCCGCAACGGCAGAATNGTCTTTGACAACTCCACCGGGCACAACGCATACAGCCCCGACGCCTTGAGGGCGCAGAACATCCGAGCCTCACCAGGGGGCGAGCAGATCCCCCCCCGCAACTTCGAGTACAACGGCAGAACGATCTACACGACGTTTCGGGAGGGCGACGTGCTGTGCTTCAGATCCAGCCCCTTCTCTCGAAAGACGGAAGCGGAGGCCGTGGGTGAGCTCCACCGTTGATTTAGGGACTTTTTTCTATGTAGACATATATATCTATCTACTGCACTGCTGTAGAGAGTTGACGTGATTTTAGGAACTTTTTTTGTGCGAGGCTTAAAAAAAATACACCACGTGATACTTGAGCTTTCCCATCCCATCCAGTTTCGTAGATAGTGGCTATGGGTGCGAAACAAATATCGCCTTTTCCCCTTCCTGCTCTTGTCTCCGTCAAACGTATGTAGCCAAGAAACGACACGGGAAAGGTTCGGAGTGTTCCCGATAGGAACGGTTGTCACACGGGGGACCAGCTCGGAGAAGCTGATTGGTGTCGCCAAGGGGATGAAGGAGATTCTGGAGGACATGGGGCTGTACAAGCTAGCCAGCGAAACGAAAGCGCCACCGCTGCTGTGCCAAAGGTGGGATCATTGGTTTTCGTTTCTGTTTCAGGGGCTAAAATGCCGGCGTGCCCTCCATGCCTCGTTTGAAGTCGATGAACTATTCGAGGTGTGTTCTGCTTTTTCCCTTGAGCTCTATTCTGCTGCGATGCACCTGGACTCGCGGTAACCTATATTTACGTTTTCGGCGCCTCTTTTGTGCATGTCTCTGTCCTCTGTTCCTTTTTAAGGTGCAAAGACGAGGCTAAGGCCAAGCGGGACAAGTCAACGATGTACAACAAGGGGGGGGAGAGCCGGCAGCAGGCGCTCGAAGGCGAAGGAGACTCCGATGATTCGGACGAAGACAGCGAGGAAGGTGGTGCTCGCGATGCAGCCAGAACATCGAGAAGATGCTGCTGCCAGCGAATCATCAGCGAGGTCAAGGCCTTCAAGGAGCAGATGAATCGGGTCGAGGAGCTGTTCGAAGCTGGGCACGCATGCATTTTCCTCGCCAAGTGAGTGAATTTTTTGGGGCGGAGATGTGTCTTTGGGTAGAATATCTAGATATCTGCAATACGCGCATGTGGTTCGATTCTAATCGTATAATGCTGCTCAGACTCTTGCGCTAAGTTTCCTTCTCTGCTCTTGCGGGGTTTCCAGGTACCATCCGGAGCTCAATGCTATCGAGCGTTTCTGGGGTTACACCAACTCTATCGAGCGCCGTGTCTGCGACTACTCCGTCCTGAGTCTGCTTGCAAGGCTTCCCATGACGCTGAGCACTGTCTCTTTGTCACTGTGCCGAAAATGGGCCCGTGTTTCCTGGCTGTACATATATGCCTACAGCCACGGGCTTGAGGGCTACTTGCAAACCCGAGACCTCAAGAAGTGGACGAACCACCGCTCGCCCACCGACACGGCCGACAACGTGTTGCTGGCTCGTGGCCAAGCAACAACCGCGGAGGAGCGCAAGGCCAAAGAGCAGGCCGCCCTTGCCGCGGCCAAGGAGGCCAGA